CTCTGCACAAGGTCAGCGGGTTTGCCAGTCCCCCCGGTCACTGTAGGGCAGGTCAGTGGGAGGTCAGGGCTGGGGCGGGCCTGGGCTGGGCTGTGACTCAGGCCCCCACCCACCTCCTTCCTTCAGCTCATCCTGACGAGTCCTGTCTCCATCCTGCTTACCCTCCCAGAGGCAACCGCCTTTCTGTCTTTGCCTCCCCCACACCCTGCGAAGAGCCCATTTCACAGATGAGGACTGAGGCCCACAGAGCTGAATGATGCCCAAGGCCATGGGAGGTGGCTGTGTGCACACAGGACTGACCCAGGGTCTGCATGATCTCTGCTTCCATCCATCCACCCACCTACCCATCCACCCACCCATCCATTCTGAACATTTTTCTGGTATCTGACTGCAAATTTTAGCACTGGCTGGGTTTCGAAGCCCTGGGATGTGGCAGCCACAGCTGGATCAGGGAGGGACCTGCCCAAGGTCACACAGCAAACTAGTGCAGCAACCACTCTTGACCCGACCCCTGCCGAGCTCTGTGCACTCACTCTGTGTACTTCCTGGGGTCCCATCCCCAAAGTCTTGTGAGTGTGGAGACTGCCAGGGCAGCCACCCTGGTCCCCCCTCCCACCTGCCAGTAGTCCTGGGCCCAAGAAAACCAGCGGGGAAGGGTCGTCACACCCCACTGGTGCCCCTCTCCCTCCTTCCTCTCCAAACAGCGGAGACAAACGGCCCGGCGGCTGATAGGACGATACGGGGCGGGAGGTGCGTGGGGGAGAGAACTGAGGCCCATCAGCTGAGCTCGATAAGGGGCCCGCTGAAATGTTAGCAAAAATATTTAGACAATAACTGGAGTATCGGAAAGGCGCGCGTATCTTTAAGAAATCAATCATCACGGACGGTGTGTCTGGACGCTCGGCGCCAAGGCGCAGATAGCGCCTGCTGGGGAGATAAGGGTTAATCAAGGATTTAATTCTGCAGGAGATAAAGCCCCAGCGAAAAGCAGACGAGGCTCCTTCCTCCCGCAGCTCCTCAGCAAGAGCCTCAAAGGCCACTGGCTTCCCTGGCGTTGGTCCCTCGCTCCCCTCGGACATTATCTCTCCGCCTGGAGAGAGTCTCCAGCCTCGTGCCAAGTCTCCCCAGGCCGACCTGCGCCCTGGGCCCAAGGAGGACACAACCCTCCGAGAGGAGGCTGCGGGAGGGAGGGGAGGGCCAGGCGGGGACGTGGCTGGGGCCTGTCCCTACAGAGCCTGCAGGGGTCTGGGGTTGGGCAGACGTGGGGTGCAGTGCTCCCCCTGCTATCGGATGCCGGTCATTTTAGCGTCATTCAACCTATCGGAGCCTCAGTTTCCTCATCTGTGAAATGGGGAGCTGCCTCATATGCTGTAGGGGAGGAAGACCAGGGCCTGTGCGTGAGGATGGGCACACCTCAATGTGTGTGTGTGGGGGGGGGCGGGGGGTCTGGAGCATACACGTCCATCCTGGAAGGGACTGACTGTTCCCAGAGGACAGAGGAGCAGGCCACACTCAGCCACACCCCTTTATCTTGTCATAGCTTATGAGAACTCAGAGCCCAGGATGGGGCGGGCTCCCAGCCCACCTACTCCTCCTTCCAACTTAACTGCTCCTCCGTAGCCTGTGCTCTGAAAAGTCAACTTCTGCTTGTATGCCTCCAGTGATCGGGAGCTCACTGCCTCAGGAGACTGCTCTGAACACCGTAGCTTCTGTCCACTTAGTGGAACCCAAGCCAGGCGCCTTTTACGGAGCCAACATCGACCTCGGAGCTTCCGCTGCATTCTCCCTGCTTGAGCCCTGGGACAAGAGGGTCATCCGTCCCGCGGGGCGGCTGGCCACACTGCCCACCAAGCAAGCCATGCCCTGTGCTGGGTGCCACGTGCACATCGTCCCGTGGAATCTGCACGGCTGCCCCGGGAGCTTCACGGACAAGCCGCGGCTCTGCCCGCCCACCCTCTCCTCTGCGGGGGGTCGGAGGGTCTGCAGGCTCAGGCCTCCGGGACCCTTCAGGGCCTCCCTGTGTCCCCACCGAGGTCCCAAAGGCTGAGGAAACAGAAGCTCAAAGAGGACAGGAGCCTGCCCGGGACCGAAACAGCTATGAGGGAGGAGACCTTGGGATGTGGACCCTACGCCACGGGGATGGTCTGGCCACGCAGCCGGGAGCCCTTGGTCCTGGGCCAGCATCCGCTTCTCTGAGCACGGCCGCTGGGCTGTGCCGGGCGGTGTGGGTGGCCCAGGGGGCCTCAGCTTGGGGGAGCTGCTCCAACCTCCTGAGGCCAGGCCCCAGCTCAAGAGCCTGACTCGGGCTGGGGTGGGAGCTGTGGACGGTGGTCCGAGGGTCTGCAGCTGGAAACTCTGCCTGCGGCCCCCTGCCTGCCCAGCGGACACGCTGCAGGCCGAGTTCCCGGGGCCCGGGTTTCTGTGGCTGAGAAACAGGGGCTCTGACTCCCAGGCTGGAGCCGGACAGGGTAGTCAGGGCGGCGTTTGACCTCGCGGTATGGGGGTCCCCTCCCAGCCGTGCCGCTGCCTGCGGACAACACGGAGGCCAGCCAGAGGCCCACACTCGGGGCCTGGGGACCAGGAGGCCCAGCACTGCGGGGCACCTGGCAGCCAGGGTGCTCCTGGTTCAGATCACACCCGAATGCAGCTTCGGGAACCAAAAAGGACAATGGCCGCACGTTGGGTTCCTTGAGCCTGGGCTCGAGGGGACCGACCCAGGGCGCCTCCAGGCCTTTTAGACGACTGGCAATAGGGCTCGGAGGTGTTTCTTGAGCAGTGGCACGGCCAGGCCCCTCCTGGTTCCCGTCACACCCATGCTGCCCGTTCTGCTGCCCCCAACGTACTTAATCGGCCCGCACATCCGTGCCCTTTCCTAACCAAAACGTATATATCTATTTTTAAGTAGGCTCCATACCTAATTCAGGCCTGGACTCACGACCCTGAGATTAAGACCTGAGCTGAGAACGGGGCGCCTGGGTGGTTCAGTCTGTTAAGCATCTGGCTCTCGATTGTGGCTCAGAGCACCGTATCACGGTTTGTGAGTTCGAGCCCCGCGTCGGGCTCTGCGCTGTCAGCGTGGGGCCTGCTTGGGATTCTCTCTCTCTCTCTCTCTCTCTGCCCCTCCCCTGCTCACTCTGTCTCCCAAAATAAATAAATACACTTAAAAAAAAAAAGACCTGAGCTAAGATCAAGAGTTGGATGGACACTTAACTGACCACGCCACCCGGTCCCCTGAAATGTATTTAAAGGGAGCCTTTGTGTCCCTGCAGGAAGACGCAAGCGACAAGACCCAGGGGGGCCACCTGGTTACAGACGGAGGTCAGAAAGCGCAGGGAGGCAAGGACACTGGGGCACCAGAGGCACCCTAGGCTGTCGTGGGGAGGACCCAGGGGAAAACGTGCATCTCGGCCTCTGCCGCAGGGGTCCCCCCGCTGCGACAGAAGCGTCTCATGTGCCCGGCCCACAAAGGCCAGGCCCGGATCCCCACTTGGTTCCTTGTTGCCTCCCCAAGTTCAAACACCAGCTTCTCCCTCTGTTTTGCCAACCTCTAGTCATCCATCAAGGGCCCTCGTAAAGAACCCCTCCTCCAGGAAGCCTCCCCGGCTCTCCTTCCCGCCTTCCTGGTCCCAGTGTCTCCGGTCCCCATCTCCGACGCACCGCACACAGAGTGGCAGGTGTTCCCGGGCTGGAGTGTAGCCTGGACTCAGCTCCTGGGGCAGAAGGGGTCTGTGCCCCGGGCTGGACTCTGCCCTGCAGCTGGTGGCTGGGCTGCTGGGGCCGGGGCTCCTTACCGGTTGCACCTGCCCAGGGGACGAGGCTTTGCTCTGGATGTTCCCTCGGAAGGGGCCCCAGGACAGCCCCTCGGCCAGGCTGCGTCGAGCCCGCACGCACCTCTGCCCGTCCTGTAGCACCGGCTCCAGCTCGTCTGTGGGGAGAAACACGGGGGCTGTGAGGCGGGCCCAGTGGAGGGGACCACTCGGCCCCGCCACCCAGCCAGGTGCAGTCCCGCTCTGCAGCCCCCCAGTCCCCACGAGGAGCGGCCACGGCGGCGAGGGTTGGGGGGGAGGGGGAGGCGGCCCTGGGGCCCGGGCTCCCCGGGTAGCCGGCCAGCCTCTGCAGCAGGCCCTTGCCTGGGAGACAGCTAGGGGCAGGATGGGGTTCCTGAGCTGCACCGGAGCAGGGGACCAGGGCTGCTCCGTTAGGACACGTGTCTCACGCAGCCCAGGGCACTGCCGGCCAGCTTTCCCCGGGCCGGGGACGCGATCCTTGCTGCTTCTGCCGGAGACAGTGCAGAGCAGAGGACGTGACGTCCACGAGGCTTGTCCCCTGTCCTTCCGTACGGTCCTCCCAGCCCCGCCCCCATTGAATTGAGCCCCCCCAGATCCACAGAGCAAGCCTGTGCGGGCAGCTGTGGAAATGCGGGGCCTCGATTTCCACATCTCTGAGACGGGGACCCCAATACTTCCTTCTTCCTGGGGCTGCGGGAGGCTTGGCCGCGTGAGTCTAGCGACACCCTTAGCACAGGGTCCACAGAGGGGAAACCAAGTCAAAGCACCGAGCTCTCCCCCCAAAGGCTCAGCAAAGCCAGAATCTCTACTTGAGTGGCCCTGATGTTGGCTCCGCTCACTCCTTGCAGATCAGCAGGGACAGGGACGGGTGGGGACCCTCAAATGCTGATGCCCCTGTGCCCCAACTTCAAACACTGGTTTCTTCCTCTGCCAACTTCTACTCATTCATCAAGAGGCATCCTGCTTTCTGGAAAGGTCTAGGTGCTGAGTCTTGCTACCTCTCTGCATGGTCTCCCTGAGCTGAGGGTGTGGACGCTCAGGGGTTGACGCCGCCCATGCCACAGGGCTGGGGGTGCAAATGTTCCGGGCTCCCGCAGCTCCCGTGGCCCAGGCGGTGGCTCCCGCGGCACTTGGTGCACGGCCCCCCGCCGGATTCGGTTACATTTGTACAGACAGATGGGCCTCTGTTGTGAGCCCCTGAGACCGTCATTCTCACTCGGGCAGGACTGCGATTTGGCCCGGCCTCGCTGCACGGGCCACATGACTTTCCGTAGTGGCCGAATGTCGGCCCCCAGAAGATACATCCACCAGGAACCTGTGCACGTGCCCTTATTTGGAAAAAGGGTCTGTGCAGATGTGATCAAGTCAGGAGCTCAAGATGAGATCATCCTGGATTATCTGATGGGACCCTAAATCCTATGACAAATGTCCTTATAAATGACACAGAAGAGACAGGGAAGAGGGCCCCATGAGGACAGGCAGAGACCAGAGTGATGGGTCGGGAGGAAGCTGCACATGGGGCCCCGGGAACTGTGAGGGGCAGAAGGACCCCCCCCTGGAGCCTCCGGAGGGAGCGTGGCCCAGGCACACCTTGGCTGGGGGCTTCTGGCCCCAGCGCTGGGAGAGAGCAGATGTCTGAAGTTTTAAGGCCCCAAGGTTGTACACAATTGTCAGGGCCACCCTGGGAGACCCACGCCTGGCACGTTTCCTGCCCGCCCAGGGCCTCGGTGTCCTCCCAGGACAAGGGGCCGGGGGGGGGGGGGGGGGCGTGCCCTCAGAGTGCCGTCCCTTCCCGGATCCCACACACCCTGCCCAGGAAGGCCCGGCTGCCTTGTGCCTCGGATGCCGTCCGGGCTGCCTGGGCCCACAGAGGCTTCACGTGGCCTGGCCTGGTCCCCAAGCGAGCGCTGCGGCCGCGGCCCCACTTCCTGGAGCCCCGATCAGGCAGGCTGTGGCCTTAATGGGCCCGATTATCAGATAACTGCCAGCCTAATGGCAGAGATAACGTGTAAATACGCCAGGAGGCCCGGCTAAAACGTTCTAACTGGGTCCTTGTCTTCCCCGGGGCAGATAAGATGGCAGGGGACCAGGATGAGGCCGAGGAGGCCGGCACCCCTTTACCAGCCCCCCAGAGAGGGGGGCAGAGGCTGGCACTGTCACTTTGCAGCTCACCCATGAGGGGCCATGTCCCTTGCAGACCCGCCCAGGACACCTGGGGCCCAGCCCAGGGCTCTGCCCACAGCCCACCCCCTCCCTGGCCCCACGGGGCCCGTCCTCAGGGGCAGGGGTGTGTCTGGCCAGCACGAAGTCACCCACCCCTGCTCAAATGCGCCTACGAAGTCGGTTGTCTCCTAACATCCCCCACACGGACAAGGATGCTGGGGCCCCAAGAGGCCACATGGCTGGCAGGAGGATGCCCCCTGGATCCCGGTCCCCCCTGCTGGCCAGCCCTCAGGGGACGGCACGTGTGAGGGAGGGATGGGGAGTACAAGGCCACCTAAAGGTGGGCTCGCCGGGTACTCACTTTTCCATCCACTCTTCTGCCGTCCGATGGGTCAGAGCCCACGCGGCACGAGCCTGTGCCCCGCACCCCTGCTCCCCTACCTGTGGCAGCGGGTCAAGGGGGAATCGTCCAGAATCCCGACGCGGCCTGCCCGTATCCAGACAGCCAGAAACCGCTGGTCGGCCTGTGCGTGGGCTCTGAACAGGGATGCCCCCATGCCTCTCTGGACCTCCCTTCTGCCGGGACCACAGACAAGACAGGGATGGTGACCGTGACTGTGGTTTTCACCCACTTCCCCCGTCAGTGTCCAGGCCATCTGAAACACCCTGGCCTTGTGGGGCACCGAGCTCCCCCCTCCCCCCGACGACGCCTTCCACCCGAGGCTGACGGCCCCCCTTCCCGTGGGAGGAAGAACTCAGGATCCAGCGCGTGGGTGGCCGGCCTGGGGGTCCCCGAGGGCAGAGGAGGCGTGGGGGCGGCCTGGCTTCCCGGGCTGTCCCTGGCTGGTCGCACCTGCACAGTCCTGAGGTTTCTCTCTCGGGGCCCCCAGCCCTGGCGGCGATGGAGGAAAGGAGCAGAGCCAGGGTGCCTCCGCACCCCGCCCACCGGGCACCCACAGGCAAACAGCCATGCTCCCTAATCGGAGCCTCAGGGCCGCCAGGCCGAGCCTCCCAGATAACAGCGTGGCTGGCGTTTCCCTCGGCAGCCGGTTCATCTTTGGGTATCATGCACCGCCAGAGGGTGGGCTGGCTCCCGATAAAGGCTGCCATTCTGCATGCCTGAGGGCAGAACCCACCACTCAGGGCTTGCTGGGGGCTGGTCAAGGCCTGGGAGGGGTGAGGCGGCCAGGGAATGGGGAAACCTGGACTGGGGATAGGGCAACGGTCACCATAAAAACCCACCTCCCTGGTTCGGGGGGGCTGGTTCTGAGGGGCCGAGCGTTTGCGGGGTGATGACGAAGTGCACAACCTGTGCAACTGTACACGGTGGCCCTGGTGATGTTCAACACCCATGTGCTCAGATAACTTATTTCCAGCAAACGGTTCCTGTCCAACCCCTTGCGTAGCTGAGAGAGGGCCAAGCGGTATCAGAGCCCAGTTAGCATCTGCCAGAGACCCTCTCTGAGCAGAAGTAAACCTGCATCAGAAAACGGAGGGGGGAAGGGTACCTATTCCTGGCCCAGAGTGAATAAAAGTATAAATGAGTGAGGGCAAGGGGCCTCAGGGGTGGGAGGCACTGAGCCGGGGGGGAGGAGCTGGCAGGAAGACAGACAGGCAGGAAAACACGGTTATTTTTAAACAGCCTCTATGACAGCCGGAGGACCCGTGGCAGCCACGGAGGCGGCTCCCAACCACACCCACAGGGACCTGGGGCCATGAGCACCCAAGCCGCACCGCAGGCTCTGGCTGCAGGGGGCACAGAACCCGGGTCTCTGGAATCCTGGCTCAGCGCTCAGTCACGCCCGGGGCAGGCACAGCCTCTGCCCTCTGGGTCTCTCGGGAGACGCGAGCGGTGACAGCCGTGAGGGTGGGCCAGCTGGAGCGGGCTTGCAGGTGGAGGTGTCCTCCTTCCCGGCAGCCTCCCGTGATCCCTGTTTCTTCCGGGCTCCGGAGCAGCGGGGGTGAGCGGGACAGAGACACCAGCTCCAGCTAGGTCCTGGCCATGACCTTCCGGCTCTCTGTGCCTTGGCTTCCATCCCCTCAGCTGGAGACGAGGGTGATCCCAACACGGTTCCCGGCCCCCACTCAGCGGGCCTTAGCCAAGGGCTTGGGACAGTTGGCAGGAAGTCCTTCCCGCCACACTGGAGTTCCTCCCCCCGTGTACAGAGGGGTAATCGAGGCTCAGAGGGGTTAAGCTGCTGGCTCAAGGCACGGGACAGGGAGGGGAGATGTGACCCGGAGCCCCAGCCGTGTTCACGGCCAGGGCCTTGACACCCTGCTCTGGCGGGATGCAGGCGGCGGGAGCTCGTGGCGGGCCAGACCCTCCCTGTCCTGTCCTGTGGTCGACTCTTCCTGCCGTGTCCTCAGTTTCCCCTTCTGTAACGGTCTCCCCCCCGTGGGGGTCAGGCTGTCACTACAGACACAGCATCAGCACAAAGACTAATTCATCCTGGCAAACAACCCACACACGTTATTTCCAGAACAAACACGCCGCACGGGGATTCAATTTCGCCCCCCAAGCGTCTGTGAGGAACCAGAGCAGAGGATTCAGCCTCTGCATACTTATATGATTTAAGCGTCTGCTTAGGTCTCAAAGTCCGCTGACGGCATCCCCAGGGGACACAGGAGGCCGGCTCGGGATCCGCTTCTGGGGGCCTGGCGGAGGGGGTGGCCGGGTGACAGAACTGAGGTCTGGGCCCCAGCCCTGCCTCACGCCCCGGAGCCCTCGCGGTCAGCCTCAACAGCGTGCGCGGTGCACGAGGAGGCCCCGGTCTCTCCGTCCTGCGGAAGCAGCCCAGAGGGCGCGGGGTCCCACGGGGGCACAGCCACCCTGCCCGGACCGGACCCGACGTCCTTTCCGACGGGAGAGCCAGGGCTCCCGCCCAGACCGTGCGGCTTCAGGGCCTACCAGGTCTCAGCCCCCCGCCACCCCCCCCCACCCCAGAGGCTGGCTCCTGGCTCTGACTCGGGGCAGCCCTGCGGTGCGTGGGAGTATCCGAGCTTGGGGGCTGCCCCTGCACCCCACCGGCTGGCTGTTCCTTCCAGGAGCCAAACTGTGCTCGTGCTGCGGCTGGTGGCTTCCAGAGCGCAAAGTCCAGCGGCCCCGCGGGCCCCGCCCTGCACGGTGGGCTCTGGGGCCGCAGGAGGGCCCGGGGTCACCGCCAGCGCTTACCGATCTAACCCGCCCGTCGCCGGGCCCCGCCCTGTGGCTCCCACAGGCCAGCTGGCCCCAGCTTCATCGGGAGCGGCCCTATCTCAGGGATCGCGCTGTTTGCCTTTGATAAAAGTCAAAAAAAAGGGAGAGAAAAAGAGGGAGAGGGAGCGGAAGAAAGCTCCAGGGGCCGGCTGGCCCCACCCTGTGGGGTTCTAGAAGTCTCCGCGGGCGTGGGCCCAGAGCGGGGCAGGCTGGGAGGCTGTGTGTACTTCCAACACGTCCCGTACCGACATGGAAACCAGGCCCAGAGAGGGCGAGGGACTCTCTCAAGGTCACACGGCAGGCCGGGGCCGACGGGGGCGAGTGGGGCGGCGCGGGGTGAGGCGAGGCGAGCCGGCCTCTGTCCTCCTGGGCCTGGGCCCGGCTGGCACAGGCTGTCCCCCAGCGAGGAGCCAGGCAGGCCACCTGCTCGCACGCTCCCACAGACGTGCTCCCTGGACGCCCAGGGCCTGGAGCGTCGGGCTGGCGGCCTGGGCCAAGGTCACTGGCTGTGAAGGCCAGTCCCTTTTCTGCCCCCAACTGAACCCTCCTGACTGGGAGGCCGGTGAGGTGCTAGAAAGACCGAGAGGTCGGGTGGCTCCCCCTCCTGCCTCATGGGGCCACCGCCGTCTAGGCTGTCCCCACGTGGCCACTGTCGCCATCCAGGCTCTGTCCCCACGTGGCCACTGCCCTCCAGGCTCTGTCCCCACACGGCCACTGCCGCCATCCAGGCCCTGTCCCCACACGACCACCACCGCCTTCCAGGCTCTGCCCCATGCAGCCACCGCCATCCAGACTGTCCCCACATGGCCACCGCCACCATCCAGGCTGTCCCCACACAGCCACCACCGCCCTCCAGGTTCTGTCCCCATACAGCCACTGTTGCCGTCCAGGCTCTGTCTCCACACGGCCACCACTGCCTTCCAGGCTCTGCCCCACGCGGCCACCACCATTCAGACTGTCCCCACACGGCCACCACTGCCATCCAGGCTGTCCCCACATGGCCACCACTGCCCTCCAGGCCCTGTCCCCACACGGCCACCACCATCCAGGCTCTGTCCCAACATGGCCACTGCCATCCAGGCTGTCCTCACGTGGCTACTGCTGTCCAGGCTCTGTCCCCATGTGGCCACCGCCCTCCAGGCCCTGTCCCCACACGGCCACCACCGCCTTCCAGGCTCTGCCCCACGTGGCCACCGCCATCCAGGCTCTGTCCCCACGTGGCCACTGCTGCCCTCCAGGCCCTGTCCCCACACGGCCACCACTGCCATCCAGACTCTGTCCCCACGTGGCCACTGCCGCCATCCAGGCTCTGTCCCCATGCGGCCACCGCCGTCCAGGCCCTGCCCCCACACAGCCACCACCCTCCAGGCTCTGTCCCCTCTGCAGCTTTAGCAGCTGACCACGGACCTGCCCTTCTGGAACAGAGCTGCCTTGTGGGGGGGGCAGGAGACTGACCCCTATTAACCCGGCTGAGCCCCGGGGGCTCGAGAGCCTGGTTTGTATCCCACCACGGCCCCCTCCCAGCTGGACGGGTCACTTCCCTCTCAGCCCTCGGCTATTCCTTACGCGAAATGGGGGTGGGGGGAAGAGTCCCCGCCTCACAGGTCAGCACAAGGCGAGGTGCATCCAGCCAGGCCGCCAGAGTCCCACATGACGCCGGCCGGGTTCTGCCCCTCCGGGGGTCGCCTCTCCTAAGACACACGCTACCAGCGCCCGCTCTCAGCGGTGACGGAACCTCCAGCAGCACCACAGGGCCCCCAGTCCCTGCCTCCGAGCCCGCGTGCGACAGTGGGACCCAGCGGCAGCCACCGCCAGTGGCTCGCCGGGACACCCTTGGCCCCGGCGCGTCGGGAGATCTGGGGCCTGTTCCCGCCTGTTGGGAGGGCAGAGCCTGGTGACCCGGGAACACCAAGCAGGGGCCGCATGGAGGGCCCCCTCCTGGACGGCCCTGCTCGCGTGCAATCCTCCTGTGCTCCGGCTGGAGGAGGCCGGGTCCCCATCGGCTTCTGGGAACATCTGTACCTGCTGGGGCCCGCCATGTCGGCCCATTTTTGCTTCCTGTATACACATGGGGCCACAAGGCCGGAGGAGGGGGACTCGGGACAGGCTGAGCTGGAGGCGAGGAAGGCACGGGGCTGTGTTCCAGTGGGTCGGCGAGGTCAAAGTACACGGTGGGCGGCCAGGGGCTCCGCGGGAGGCCTGTCCCGATGCTGCCTCTCCCCAAACCCGGACACCAGCCGGAGGTGCCCACTGTCCCCCGGGACAGTGCTAAGACGCCCCCCAGGCTGCTGTCCTTCACGCCATCCCACCCCGCAGGCCCCGGGAAGCGTACGCACGCCCATGGAGACTGGGGCCCCAGGGCCAGGAGACCCAGAGCCGTGGGGCCAGCCAGCCGGCATGTGCCCTGGACCAAGCCATACCTGAATGCCACGTCGGGGAAAAAGGGGAGAGCCTGATTCCAGCCCTCCCCGTCACCAGTGGCCATGGCACCTTTGGGCAGACCCCACCCCATCTCAGGCCCCAGGATCCCGCCTGTGAATTACGGGGACACGGTGTTGGGGAACAACGGCGGGGTCCGTCTTCCCTTGCCAGTTGACAAAAGCAAGACTTGGAAAAGCTGAGGGACTGTCTGAGGTCACAGAGCCCAGGTCCCTCGGACCTCAACCTAGGCCGCATGGCCTCACTCACAGCGGATCTGGAACGTCAGGTGGCCGGGACACCCCTGATGCGGGATGCCGGGATGCCCCGGCGGATCTGGAAGCACGGCCGTGGCCCCATTTCACAGGTGGGAGCAGCGAGGCCGAGCGGGGCAGAAGACGACCCCTGTGTCCAGGCAGTGGCCCCACGGCATCTAGTACGGCCACGGTGGAAGGAATAATCTGACGTGTGCTGCTGTCTGCCAGGTACGACGGGGCGAGGGGGCCACGGACACACACGCGATCACCGCCTCCAAAGCAAAGTCACTCGAGGCCTCAACGGATTAGTGGCTCCTGGGGATCCGGGGTGAGGGTTTCCACCCTGCCTCCGGCCCCGGTGACCCCACAGAGCGTCCCCGGAAGGTGCAGACCGCTGTGGGAGGGCCAGGGTCTGGGGAGAGGCAGCCAGGGGGCCCAGGGCCTGTGAGCTGAGGACGTGTATAAAAACGGGACCAACAGCTGTCATCCTTCAGATTTCACCTACGCGCTGGGATTTCTGGCCTCACGGGGGCACCATGGCACAGCCGGACAGCCGGGCTCTGGCTCCCGCAGGGCTATGACCCCTGAGAGGGTGACCGCCTCTCCTCAGGACGACGCCCCACCCCTGCACCCGTTCCCAGGGCCCTCCCTGACCCACTGCACACGGGGGCCACTCCCGGCTGCCCCCACCCCAGACCCACCACCGCTCGAGAGGGTCTCCAGCTCCTCTGCCCACGGTGGCCCCACCGGCTTCTGGGCCTGGATGCAGGTGTCCAGCCTGCAGAGGCCCTTCCTTCTCTCCCCAGCCCGAGGTTTTCAAAGGGTCTCAAGCCCAGAACCTCCCTTCCTAAGGTGGTCGCAGGGGGCCAGGCTGGAGGGGGTGGGTTCCGGAGCTCGGACCCTGAGGCCTCTCTCTCCCCTTGGCACGGGGCCTACCTGCCAGGAGGCGACGGCGGCCCGCCCAGCCCACACCTGCCCGAGGTGCGTTTGCCACTGGACGTGGGCCTATGCCACTGGGCGTGGCGTCATTTGTCCCAACCCTCCTCCGGCCGCCAAGCACTGCTCAGCGGCTGCGTCACGTGGGGCTGGCCCGAGCCCTGGGGGAGCTGGCAGGCAGGCTGCGTCCCTGGGAGCCACACAGAGGGGGCTGGCGGGCCCACACCATGGCCAGCTCTGCCGTGGGCCAGTGGGTGCCGGCCACGGTGCCCACCACGGGGCATGGCCCCGGACGCCTGGCCGGGGACCTCCGTGTGCCTGTCCCCCATGCAGGCAGTGGGGGTGATGCCATCGGCTACCGGCCCCTCCCTGCCTCTTGGCCTTGTCACACCCTGGGCTCCCGTCACCTCTAGTGCTAGGGGTGCTGACGGTTGTGTCCTGGAGGCCCTGAGAGTGCCTGCAACCCAGTGGACACCCGTGTCTGGAGGACGGTGGCTGGAAGCAGGGCCAGCAGTGGACGACCCAGAGCAGCTGAGAAGCCACAGGCCGGGGAGATGGGGCGCCGGTCCCCCAGGGAGACACAGGGAGGCCCAGAGTGGCTGCCCACATGCCCTGGGGAGGGCCCAGCCCATCCACAAAGCAGGGCATTGCTGGGGGGTGGGGGCAGGCAAGGAGAGAGGCGGACCGGCCTAGGTCACCTGGAGCTGCCCTGGGACCACCGTGGGTCTGCAGCGCCAGCCAGCAGCGGGGCAGTGGCACGGAGGGCAGCCCTCAGATGCTGGAGCCCCCGCTCTGCCCCCGCCCCACCCACCAGCTGGTGCCTGTGAACCTCCCTCCCTATCGCCGAAACATCGCTGGAAATTATTGATTTTTTGACACAGAACAACAGCCCATCTTTATCGGGCTGAACCCTGGCCCCAGCTAATGTTGGAGCTGGGGCCTCCTGGGATGGCCAGCAGCCCAGGGTGGGGCCTGCAGGGGCCCTTCACCACTGGGGGGGGGGGGGCGGGCGGCAGGCTCAGGGAGAGGGGTCCGGGGGGCTGGGAGGGGCAGAGCGTCCGCGGCCATCAGGACCAGGCCCCGCGTGGGTGGTAGGGGCCCCGCGGGCAGCTCAGAGCAAGGTCCGGGGGGGGCGGTCACAGTGGGGGCTGCCCTGAGCTCTGATCACCCCACCTGAACCCCCAACCGGGGGCTTGTTGGGGACCTGGTTGTGCCGTCAGACACTTCCCCCTCGGGCACGGCCAAGAGCAGCTCGTCTGGCAGGAGGAGACACAGGGTGGGTGGTGGGGCCTGAGACCCCTTAGCAGTGTGCGCACTGGGCCCGACGCACCCCGCCAAGACGACCTCCGATGGACGAGGTCTCCCCTCAGCCCCGTGGGATCTGAGAACCCCGGTTTCCAGGAGCCTCGAAGTGGGAGACCTCATGGTGCCTCCAGCCTTCTTGAAAAGCCAACTGCCCTGGGTCTCTGGGCCTCAGTCTTCCCGGTTATGGAGTGGGGAGAGGCAGTCCCACCAGCTCCCGGACCCGGGTTCTCTGGCCTTGGGAGACCCTGAGGCCTGAGCGCTGGGGTGGGGGTCCCTGGCTCTCCCCTGCCCCGCCTCATCCTGGCAGCGGGCTGGAAGCAGGATGTGTGATAAGGTAAAGAAAATACCTCCTGTGCAAACAGCTTATCTGGCTCCTATCGGTGTCCTGGCCCCTGCCCCGTTTTTCCAGGGGCCGACGCCACCGGGGGCCCTTCCTTCCCGTCCAGCCTCCAGCTCACCACCTCCTGGCCTCTGGCCTGGCCGCACACCCCGTTCCCTGCCTAGGCTGGGGAGCGGCCAGGGGTCCGGGCCCGGCCTCTCTGTGAACTGAAGGGTAGGCGGGTGGGCAAGTGAGGGTCTGGGCAGAGCCTGGGTGGTCGCAGGGGTGAAGGCCGACGGGACGGCCCTCCTACCGCTGCCACTGCTGGTGGCCTGGGTGCTGCCCCCAGCCCGGCAGGTGCCTACCTCCACCCCGGGGGCGTGGCAGCAGCAGGCATGGAGGTCAGAGGTCAGCCGGCACCATGGAGAATAAGACGCTGCCACCACCCGTGGCCCGGAGGGCCCTCAGGGGTTACAGAGATCCTTCCAGAAAAGGCAGCCTCCTGTCCGCCCCGCCCACAAAGGAGGCACTCACAAGAGGAGGGCCTGGGCCTGCCCTGCGTGGAACCCCAGACACCTGCCTTCACAGCACTGATCGGCTCGCCCTCAACCCCGCCCCCCTGCAGCACAGGCGTGGTTATTCTCCTCCTCACAGACGAGACCAAGGGTCAGAGCGGACCCGGCCACACAGCGAGGCGGGTGACGGAGTTCAAACCCAGAGGTCCGACCCCATCCAGGCCTCCGTCCGTCAGGCCCCTTGAAGGGGAGGCAGGGAAGAAGGGGGCTGGGCTGGGGCAGGGGTCCAGGAAGCGGGGCGGGAGGCTTCGAGTACAGAGGGCACTGCCCCCCGCACGCAGCAGGCACGGCTCCTTCCTACCTCGCCTCTGCTCCGGAGCCCTCGGGGCGGCCGACCGGGCCCCAGATGGGGGGCCGTGCCCGCAGCTGGGCTCCGTGGGGGTGCTCGTGCCCAGCTCCACACCTGGCACGGGGGTGGCATGCGCCCGCCCTCCAAGACCCAGCAAGGCCCCTGGGCCCTGGGGCGGGGCAGGGCAAGTCCCGCAGAACTGCCTCAGGCAGTGGCAAGGTGACAGGTGGCGGTGGGGCCACCCGACGTTACCCCCGATCGGCTGTTACTGCCGCGGCCTTCGGGGTCCGTTCAGCCCCACGGTGTGCGCAAGGAGACGGGTGCCGACAGAACGTTTAGGAACCCTCGGGGAATGTGCTTTCAGAAACGTTTCTCCCTCTTCCGGTAGAGATTTTGCGGGTCGGCAGGGCCACGATGACAGTCCTCGCCACCCTATGCCTGTCCGCACGGAGGTGACCGTGCGGGATAAATTCCTAGGAGGGGACTGCGGAGTCAGGGTCAGAGCTTGCGGCTGTGGCGTGGGGCGCAGCCAGGGGCACCCGGATGTCTGTGAGCTCTCGCCGGGAGGGCAGGGACGGGCCCGGGGCCCCAGGGAGGCCACGATACCCGATGGATGCCCACACATCCGGCCCACCTGCCCGAGGCGGCCTTGCCCTCGGGGGCCCGGCCGAGGGAGGGCCGACCCAGAGGCGGCTGCAGAGGGGCAAAGGCGGGTCCTGGGCGGGGGAGGGGGCCTCCCCGCGACGACGACGACGACACACAAAAGCCCCAGCGATAGCATCACGCTGTGTTTCAGGCCCAGCTCGGCCCTTTCGGGCAGGATATGACCAGCCCTCGAACCAATGGCGGCCCCTTTGTCCCATCTCCGGGGACCGATCTTATCGGCCGCATCCACGGCCGCCGTAATGGAAAAACACGGTGAGGAAATCAAAAGTTAGGCACAGAGATAGAGGAATAATAAATAAATAAATAAATAAATAAACATAAAGAGCCAGTGCTGGCTGCAGGGGAGGGGTCCCCAGGGGCGGGCGGGGGTGCTGCCTGGCTCCCATCCTGGGGGGGGGGGGGGTCCGACAGAGCCGCCGCACCTCGCCAAGCCTCGGTTTCCCTGCCTGTCAGGTGGGGCCGGGGGAGCCGGCTGGAGAAGGAACAGCCTGACGGGAGGCCCCAGCCGTGGCCGCACGGCCACAGGGAGGACCCACACGGTGCCCAGGGACCGCTGCGCCCTGCCCGGCCCCCGTCATGTCTCCCGACGGCCTGCCCCCGCCCCAGAGCGGCGGCCCCGGCCCACAGAAGGGGGCCAGCTGGAGGCCAGGTCCGCCCCGGTGCGAGCGGTACCCCGCAGGTCCGGGGTAACGGGACGGGGACAGCGAGGCTGACGATGCCGGAGTCAGGGACACTGACCGTGTCAGTGACAGCGACGGTGACAACGTGAGCGACAGCAGGAGTCCCTCTGTCGGCCCAGGGGCTGTGCCGGTGCTGGTCCTGGGAAGAGGGCCCTGCTGGCGTGGACGGCGGTGGCGGCTGTGGCGGGAACGGCCTGCTGTCACACGCCAACCCCGCCAGCCCCCGGGTGTCTCCCAGGTGCGTCTGCGGCCACCTCCTCGTGGAGGCCCCAGGCCACGCGGCCAGGCTGTGCGGAGTCTGGGTTTGGGCTCCGGAGGAGGACAGCGAGGGGACCTTCTGGAAGGGGCCCCCCAGGTGCGGGCGGGCGGACCCGGACCTGCAGCCCACTGACATTTGGGAGGCGCTGGCAGAGCAAAGGCGGACGGACGCTCAGACACGGCCTGGGGCCAGGGGGCGGTCTGGCCGGGGCAGGAAGCCGGTGGGAGGGCGGAGGAGGAAGCCAGGCTCGATTAGCGCCCGCGGCCAAGATAGGCCACCCTGGCCACAGATAGCCGCTCCCGGAAGGCCGGTGAGGTCAGCGGGCGGCACGGGGCAGGCGGCCAGGCCTGGGCCCCCACCCGCCGCCGGGACGGCCGAGGACTCAGGCCCCGGCCACGCTCCCTGCCGGGTGCTGTGCCGCCCCCTCGCCCTCCGCCAGGCGGAGTCTACACCCCGGGAGGCGTCGGAAAGCCCCTGGGCACCTCGTGTGACAAGGCCAAGAGGGGCTGGGTGAGGGGACCTTTCCCCGGGAACCAGGGCCGCGAGCCCAGTCCACTCAAGCGCCCGGTGGTGGTGGCCAGAAACGGTCACTGAGCCTCTCCGGGCCTCAGTTTCCGCATCTGGAAAACGGGGAGCACGGCACCTGCTGCCGAACTGCCGTCAGCTTGTCTCCCGAGTCCACCCCCTGCGGCCCCGCCACAGGGCCTTTGCTCGGCTGCGCTGTAAAGGCCGGCTTACCCAGGGTGTCTGCAGCTTGCTCCCCGGCCCAGGGTGCTGTCTGTGCACATCCCCGCAGGTCAGGGGCATCTCCTCGCCCAGCACCAGCCGCCACGCGCTCCCCTGCGTTTCTCTCGGTTAGTGTCCGAGCCCCTCGCGGTGCTCTCTGTCATGGGCCGTGGCTGCAGGAGAGCAGTGGCTGGTCTCTTTTGTTCCTGCGGTGTCCCCGGTGTCCGTTACAGGGGCCGGCACACGGGAGGTGCTCAATAGATAAGAGCGCAAACCAGGGGGCAGTGAGTTCTGGCGGGAGCCGCCCGGCGGACGGTGGTCCTCGCGTCCTGGTGCCACGCCCGCTGACCGCCTGCGCCTCTCACAGGCCCCGGTCCCCGGGTGGGGTGAGGCGGACGACGGAGCCAGCCGCGGCAGCGAGCCGTCCGGCCAGGGCCCATCTGGGTGCCGGGTGGGGAGCCACTAACCGCGGGGAGGGGCTGCCCCGGGGGCGAGGGGTCAGCAGCCCAGCCGTGGGGGACGCCGCGCTGCCAGCTCCGTGCCTCAGTTTCCCCACAGAGACGGGCAGCGAGCTCTGACTGCGGATGCCCCCTCTCTGCGCACGGCCTTTCGGGGGTGCCGGGTGTGGCCTGGTGCCCCCCGGGCAGCGCAAGAGGTGGCACCCGTGTGGGACAGGTGGCCACGGAGGCCACGGCCCCTACCTCAGCCGTGTCCTGGGGGCCCTGTCTACAGGGCCTTGCTCAGAGGGGTGGGCGGGCCTGAGCTGTGGCGGTGGATGCCAGCCAGGGGTTCAGGCCCCTTCTCTGGCCCAGGGACCAGCGGTCTGGGGAGCGTGCCCTGGCAAGAGCCCACGGGCGACCCTCAGCCTGTGACAGCTGAACCCCATTTCCTATGGGATGCCGCCCCCTTGATCTGAGCTTGCCTCCTCCCTCCTCACCGCTGCACCCGCCCCAGTCCCAGCGGGGCGCGCTCTGGCCCCGGGGCTCTGGCCTTCCCTGTGCCCGGTGCACCGTCCCCAGCGGCTGCCCCCCTCTTCTGGCCCGTGGGCTTGGCCAGGCCTGTTCGGCATCGCTCCCTCTCTTTTTCCAGAGCCTCACCCCTCGGCCGCGTGACGTCGTCGCTTCTGGGTTATTCTGTCTCTGTCTCCCTAACTCGAACCTCAGTGCCCTGGCCACCTAGACGCTGCGGGCCCCAAGCAGGTGTTTAAGATACAAGTGTTCGTGGAGTGAATGAACGACCTTCTCGTGCCGGCTCCTGGGCCGTAGAGACCAGGATGTTTTGGCCCGAAGGCCTGTGTCACCCCCACGACACAGCTGGCCCCCTGCAGGTGTCTGTAAACAGCTGGGAAGGCGGGCAGGCTGGCTGACCACGGGGACACGCAGCCCCCCCACCCCGGGCCTTCGGCCACCTCCTGGAATCTCCGTCTGCTCGGCCGGGAAAGGGGGTCTGGACGGGCACAGGGCCCAGCGGGCGGGTCTCAGGGCCCACGTCCCCCTGGGACACCCAGAAGAGGTGGCCGACTCTGGCCCCTGGAGCTGACCCCGGGCTGACCCTTGCCATCTACCATCACCCTCTCCTTCGCCCCTCCCCCATCTGTTAATCTAAGACAAGTAGGCCTATCGGGTGGCAGTGCCGGGCCCCACGATAACGCAAAATAGCCGAAATGATTTTTTCCCACCCACGCAGGCCGCGCTGCTGGGAGGGGACGTGCGGCCAGGCCGTATCGGTCCATCTCCCGGGCTGTCCATCAGGACAGGCCGTCCTGCCTCGGCGGCCCGACCGCCCGCCGCCCGATAACAGACCTTGAGGTTTGCCTAGAAACTCCGGCAGTGAGATTAGTCAGCCGAGCACAGCCCAGATAGCCGGCCCGGCGCCCTTGCTCACGCTCCAGAGGTGAAGATTCCAGCAGGCTCCCCAGGACCCCCGGGGTGGGGGGATCGGGCTCCAGTGCTCAAGCAGGAGGCAGCTCCGCCTCTGGCCCCTCACGGCACCGTGCTCCCTGCGGGTGCTCCTTCAACCCAGCTGCTGCATGGCAGCTGACCAGACACCTCGCTTGAAATCCCCCAGCCCTTCCTTTTATGTCAAGACCGTAGAGGCGTCTCCCCACACCCCACAGCACAGAGCCCCAACCCTGACCCACCTGCGCCCATTCTGTCTCATGCTCCAGCCACACCCACCCACGCTGTTCAAACCTCAGGGCCTTTGCGCCGCCCGGACACCCTCACCCCACTCCAGCTGGTCCTCTGGCCTCAGCTCAGGGATGTCTCTGCTGACCCGCAGTGCCGTGAGGACATGGCCAGCCTTCCCACCTCTGCCTCCAGGGCCTGAGATGGGGACATAAATGGTAACACCGGATGCCTGGCCAATTAGATTTTGTTTTGTGAACAGTGGTCACCAGGAAAGAGTTCCAGGCTCCGAGGCTCCTATGGGTGAAAGGAACCCCACTCTTGGGGCCCTGATCACAAAGCCAGGCCAAAGGCCGGGGCCCCCCACCCCCGGCCAAGCTGACCACCAAGTGTGCCCCTGGCCACCTCCCCCCTTCCTGGGCCCACGGAGCCCAGGCCACCCTCACGGCTACTTGACGCCCCCCCTGCGGGCCCCCACCCGGCGCGGCACCTGCACTCAGCAGCGGTTGCACACTGGCCCCCATCCAGGGCATCCGGGCCTTGCCTGCCCTGTGCCAGGCTCACCAGGCAGCAAGGGAGGCCGGAGGAGGCGGCCCAGCCCCAGGCGGCCCGGCAGAGGGGCTGCTCAGGCGGGAGGGGGTCCCACACCATGAGGCTGGCTGCAGAGGAGGCTCCCGGACGCCCTGGGACTCCCCAGAGCCGCTCCCTTCATCCTGGTTCCTCATGACCCGGCCAGGCAGGCCGAGGGCACGCTGACGGCCACTGCACAGGGGCTCAGATGGGGCCCAGGAGGTGGGTGATGCGCCCAGGACCCCCACTCAGGATGGGACCCTCCAGGCTCAGTCCAAACGGAGGCCGGCCTTCCTGCCTGACCTGTTTCTTTTAGATGTTAGTGGGGAGACCGAGACGGGGAGAGGGGACGGATGAATGGCAGGAGGGCTGGGGGTCGTGGAGTGAGGGGCCGACCCCTTTCGGGCAGAAAGCTCGTGGCCAGCTGCCCTCCAGACATGCTTTGGGGATTACAGATTACAGCTCTCAGATATTTGCATATCAGAATTTTAAACAGCCAGCCCCTCCAGCAAACAAGGTCATTTCAAAGATAAAAATACTGAGCCTTCCCCTTCCTGCCACCCACCGCCTTTCCCCTCAAAGCCCCCAGCCCAGCATCCCCGTGTCCCTGAGCCCCACCGGGTGCTTTCCCGACCACAGGCCGAAGCGCCCTCCCTACAGACCTGGGACCGGGCTCCAGGGCCTCCTGGCTAGGCCTCGGTCTCACCCCCAGGGCCTTTGCACGGGCTCTGCACTTCTGACCGGAGGACCTCCCTGCCCTATGGGGCCCATCTGGGGGCCACCTTCCCCTCGGGGACTTCCACAGTCCCCTCACTGGTGTGGTCAGGGCTCCCAGCGTGGAGGACACCCCAGCACATGGCTCCTTGGGATGGAGGGAGGATCCATCTAATTACGGGGGGAGGGGGGCTCTGCCCGGGCCCTCACCCGCCCCAGGGGGCAGCTGCGGTCCCGCTGCTCAGAGGAGAGAGGGGACATCTATCCCTGAGACCGCACTGCGGGGCCACCTCGGAGCCGGCCTCACCCTGGGCCACAAACCACTCGCAGGGACGCAGGAAGCGGAGGGCGGCCCCTCCCAGCCTCGGGCCCCCTGCTTGGCAGCTGAAGCGGGCAGTGCCTTTCTGCCCCGAGAGTGGCTTCTCCACATGACATCCCAGCCCAGGCCGCCGGCGAGGGGAGACAATACTGCGGCTCTCTGCGTACTGTGGGCGTAACCCCTTCACAGGCCCCTTAGCTCCATCGTACAGATGAGGAAACTGAGGCCCAGAGAGGTCGGCAAAGCTGGAGCCCCTCCGGGGCCGGCACGCTCGGGGGTCTGTGCCTTGACCTCCGCGCCACTGGCCATATTCCCACCTGACCCACGACAGCTGAGGCCGCTGACGGAGCTCACAACTTCTCAAAGCGGAAACACATGCCTGAGGACCTCCCCAGCCTGGTTCTGGAGCTCTGGGGCCACCAGGTGTCGGGCGGGGGCGGGACCGGGCCCCTCATGGGTCCCGGATGCGCACTCCGGCGT